CAATAAAGAAAGAGGGGTCTATTTATTATTTTCTAAAAGTAACATGACAAGTAAATAGGATAGAGAACAAGAGTAATTTGGGATTGGTTTGAATAGACAACCGATGTAGATTTCCTTCATAATGGACCCTTTACTGGACATTTAAATGTCTTAATGATATCAAAATTTGACGATCTTGGGCTCGTTGGATTCATCTCATCGAGCCGCTCAATTCAATTATAAGCATGTTATGTTTGAAAATGGTTTGCTAATCCAAATTATGATTTAAACCTTTCAAATGCAGTCCGATTCTTTGATTTGGATCTATTTGAGCTCAGATTAATAATAATAATAATAATACATATTAAGGATCTATTTAAGAAATTTTTTTTATTACTTTGCTTATTAGACTACAATCATAATTCTTTTTGGCTACTTATTTTTTGATGTTTTAAAAAAAATTATATGCTAGAAAACTATCTTTTACAAGAACTTAAAAAAAATATCTTCTTCACAACAATTTTATAACTAGTTTTACAAAAAAAATTGTATAGAGAAATTATTCTATGCGAATGACAAACATAGCTCTACGTCGGGAAGCGAATCAGGGGCAGCCATGTGAGTGGTACCGAGTAGTACCGAGCCTCGATATAGAACGAAGAAGTGATATGACGCATTCTTATTGATCTCTAAACGAGGTTGCATCCGAGCAGAATAATTTTTCCTTAAACAGACCTTAAATCAAGCTCCTCAACTATACTGACATTGACTTGTCAAGTATATTAGATTGCCGTGTGGGTTGGTGGGAATTACCAACCAATGTAGCTGTAGAGAAGGATAGCTCTTGCTCCCCTGGATCTCTTACATTTTGCTGAGATAGTTGATCCTTGCTATTGCCCCATAGAAGAGCATAGAGGCCTGCCACCATTATAATTGACCCAATAGCCCTGTCTCCAATTAAGTTGAGTCAAAGCATTAGCTGAATAAAAATTTAATATCTTCATAAACTTTCTAATAATTTGAGTTGCAGCAATCGAAGGAGTTTTTTTTTTGGAAAGTTTTTAGGCAGTCGGGAAAAATTATTCCGTGCGGAGTCCAGACAATAAAGAACCATTCAGATGTGAGTGTACACACTGTGTATATAAAAAAATTAAACTGTGTACAAGATTATACGCAGTATACACACTGTGTACACTTACATCAGAATGATTCTTTACTGTCTGGACTCTGCATGAAATAATTTCTCGGCAGCCTGCCACTCCAAGAGTGAGAGAATGCTTACATTCCCAATGATATTTTCTCGGACAGAAAGAAGGAGCCCAAGGCCATGGTAAAGAAGAAGCAAAGAGGGATGAAAGCACCGACAAAAACTGGACCTTTCTCATTCATCACAACTCCTTGCAAATAATATGAGAGGCCAGTGCATGTTATCCCCTGCAAATTGAAGCTTTCTCCTTCATATCACATAAAACCAAACACTATATATATATACAAATCATTACTTCTCTACTTCTAAAAGAAATTTAGAATATTTAGATATTGTTTGAGACAGTTTTTTTCCGCTTTTTAAAACAACTTTTTAGTACAAAAATTATATGTTACGAAGGAACTTACAGAATATATTGCAACAAAGAGCCTGCGGTCCCAACCTATAATCCATGGACTTGCACTTCCATCTTCCAACACCAACGCAACCACAGCACTCATCACCGCACCAATGAGGCAAATCAAAGCTGTTAGAGTAAGTTCTGTGGGGAACGATTTTAAGGTATTTGACTGCAACCATATTAAATGCAAGCATATTTTTAATTACAGGCCATGATTAGTTTATATTAATCACTCAATTATATGATAATTATATATCAATTTATCATAAAATTTATTAAATAATATAGCTTTCATTACTTGTAGTATTAAGAAGGCAGACCAGAGAGTGCTGCTCCCTATAATAGAAAAAGTGCCCTCTATCCACTGGGAGCCTCCAGTACCTCCGGCCATGGAATCTTCAGTGCTGCTGTACTGAACATCTTTTCTCCCTGAATACCAGGGCAATTTCAAGTTGGGGCCTTTGTAAATAATCATCAAAATTGCTCCTGCAACGTTTGCAACTGTTCCAATCACCCTTGCTTGGCCAAATTTCTGTTTTATCTCCAACTTCTCCAACCTAATTAATTAAGCCAAAAACAGAAGGAAATCAAGCAGAAAATATTGTGGGAGTAGCTCATAGTTTTATTTATTTATTCTAAATTAATATTAATATTGTATCAACTAAGAGTGAAATAGATCAAATTTAGATTTTTTTTTGGTGATGATTTAAATATAGACATAGACTTTCTTACTTCTTCTTAAAATATCTTTTTAGTACAAAAATGGAAAAAAAAATATACTAAAAAACTGATTTAAGAAGCAGCTAGAAAGTCGTCCCAAACGAAGTCATAGACAATAACTCCCAACCTAGTGATTGGTGGTCAGTTAATAAAACAACCTTATAATAACTTATAATATAGAATATGATAATGACTAACAATAGAGACATTACCTGAGAACAAGGGCCATAATGTAAGTAATGGCAGGAATTATATTTTCAAGCGCAGCAGCAAAGCTTGCTGAGGTCAATTTGGCTCCCATGTAAAAGAAATTTTGTTGAAGCACTGGACTGTTCAACGAAAACATGTATAACATCGGCTAATTAATACTTTATATCATGTGATTAACTAATAAGGTCTTAAGACTTCGTTTGGGACGTCTTTCTCACTTCTTTTTAAACCAGCTATTTAAAAGCTGGTTTTAAAAGCAATGAGAAAGCTGTCCCAAACAAAGCCGAAGAGAAGGGATGAAAAATAGAGAATCATTACTCCAGGAAAGCTAACGCAATTATCTTAAGTACGATGACCGTTGTAATTCTTGGTATCTGTTTCCTGCACTGACAAATATAGCTATCAAACAAGGAGATGGGTATTACATAAAGAACTTCTACATTTTTTAGTTTATATATTTACTTCATATTGGAGAAATTAGGAGAAGAAGAGACCTTTCAAACCAAAACGCAAATGGTGCGATGGTGACAGCAGCAATGATGTTACGATATACAACAAGCACATATTGGTTCATCCCATCCTTGAGGGTTGCCTCCGCTAGTACATACATGACGGCAATGAAAAACTGTTGCAGAACCATGTATAAGTAGGGCTTTACCTCCTGCAAAACTTTGAGGCCTCCATTACTGAAAATCATCATCATGGCCTTATCTTTCGCTTGAGATACAAGCTTCTTCTACTTCTTTCCAAAGTGAATGAGTCTTTATATACGCTTAACTGCAATATTTTTGCGATGAAAACGCGTAGTTAAATATTTTATATTTGCATGAAGTTTATAAAAATGATTGACCTTATTTTGAATGAGGAATTTTTTAATGCTTTACTCTGAGTTCAACTAGGCATCATTTGAGACCGTTTTTTTAATGTTTTTTAAAGTAATTTTTTAGTAAAAAATTAAATGTTTTTACTAGAAAGCTTCCTTAAGAAGCAGCAAGAAAGCTGCTTCAAATGACAACTTGTAGTAAGTTGAATCACATTCAAGAAATAGTTGATCTCATACTGGAATATAAAAAACAATAAATTCCTTCTAAATTTTTTTTTAATCAAGATCTGAAAAGACTATCACACTACAATGAAAGTTAAATAATTCAATAAAAATAAAATTAACATATAAATCCTACATGTATAGCAATAAAGGTACTGGAAAAAGAGCAACAAAATCCTCAAAATTTCTCAATCTTTAGAACAACCTTGATGTGAACAAGCAGCTAGCTTGCTTATATGTTGAGGGCAAAATTTTATAGGAAACAATATGGTGGAGAAGAGAAAGTCAGAAGAAAATTTTAGAGAGTCGGGACAAGAGTAGCAAGTCGTAGAATAGATTGGAGGCTTGAAGAGGATTTTATAGCTAATTTCAGTAGGCCAAATGGCTTGCTATTCCAAGAGCTGAATATGCAACGGCTATGAAAAATAATTATAACAGGAAAAGGTAAGAAACATTGTATCGGGACGTCTTTAAATGATTTTGAATTTGTGATACGGATAGAACTTCAAAAATATTCACGCCCATCTTAACATATATTACGTCGAAATATCATGCCACAAGAGCTAGTGACTGCTAGTCCACTTACCTGATGGGATAAAATACTCTTTAACAATAAACTTCGATTCTCATAGGTTTTGTTGGGACAGCATTTTTATTGTTTTTTAAAATAAATTTTTAGTAAAAAAATTAGTTTAAAAAAATTTTGTATTAAAAAACTGATTTAAGAAGCAGTAAAAAAAATCATTTCAAACATATTCATAATTTTGATCGTACTGTAAAATTAGGCCGAGAACATCTATTTTAAAATATTCACCTATAAATTGTGAGCACAAAGTAACAAAAACTAAAATATTTTTTTTTTTGCTACTCTTTTAGATTGGGCAATACAAAATTTGAGCACATGAAAAAAATTCCAGATGTGAATTTATTTGTTATATTAGGCCAGTGGTTAATTAGCTATGCTGAATTCTAAAAAAATATTTATTTATACATTTGATGAATTCCACTTGTTGCGTCCTCTAATATTCGCGGCGGTAGAGAAATATGAAGTTTTGAGTTCTAGCTTTGTATGAAGATTCAGCACGCATACAGAAAAAGAAATGGTGCATTATTTATAATAAGCACCAAGATTTTTTACGTGAAAACTCTTAAAATGGGAAAAATCATGGGGCTTAGTTCAATTTAAATGAATCAATTAGTATTTGTAGTTGATTACAAATGAGGCCCTTCATTGAAGGGAAGGACTTAGTTTGATGTAGCAAATATACATCATAATATCATATAGAGTGCAATACAAGATGGGAATTGGAAGAATCAATATTGACATGTTTGTTTAGTTGGCACGATCATAGTTAGCGAATGATAGAGGTTAGAAAAATTGTTGTCTGACGATGAATGTCAGAATGATCGTAGTCAGTGATGGAGGTCGGAATGATCATAGTCGGTGGACGACAGAGGTCGTCGGAAAGACCGTTGTCGGCGGGCAACAGAGGTCGGAAAGACCGTCTGTCGACGGAGGTCCGGTGAAGGAAGTCGGAAGGACCGTAGTCGATAAGCGACGGAAGTTAGAAGGACCGTAGTCGGCGGAGGTCAGAATGACCGTAGTCGGCAAGCGACGGAGTTCAGAAAGACCGTTGTCTGGCGACGAAGGTCGGAAGGACCGTAGTTTGCGAAGGAGGTTGGAAGGACCACATTTAATAGGCGACGAAGGATGTAAAGACAGTTGTCGGCTGACGACAGTTGTCGACTGACAACAGTTGTCGGCTGACGACAGTTGTCGGCTGACGACAGAGGTCGGAAGGACCGTAGTCGGTGAAGGAGGTTAGAAGGACCGTAGCGGGTGATGGAGGTCGGAAAGCACTTTGTCGATGGGCGACAGAGGTTAGAAGAACTGTAATCAGTGAGCGATAGAGGTTAGAAATGTGAAACTCCTTAAGTAAAAAATTTAAACTCTTAAACATCGAGGCGTCTTTTAGTATGATGGTTGGAATTTCATTAAGAAACTTTGCAGTTATGCCTACTCATCACAGATTAATTTTGGGATATATGACCTACTGAGAAGTTACATCAAAAGGACAAAATCGTGAGGCTCTTAGGCCAAACCGAACTATATCTCGATAGTTAAGAGTTTGGGCTGTTATAAAAAGATCGTAGTATGGCGATAAAGTTCGAAAGGATCATTGTCGAGTGAACGCCCAATAATAATTGGAAGCCGGGTGGAAGTCCGGCGTTAGTTGGTGGCTGAGTGTAATTCTGGTGACAATTATGAGCCGGACGGAGGTCTGACAAAAGTCCTACAACAGTCGGTAGCTGGGAGAAAGTCCGACGATAGTCGATGGCTGAGCAGAAGTTTGACATCCTTTGGTGGCCGGGTGGAAGTCCGGCGACAAACGAAAGTCTGGCGTCGAGCGCCGAGGAGGAGCTTGTTCGACAGAAGTCCTGGCGGTGGTCGATGAGGAGCTTGGTGGCAAGAGAGATCTTAGATTTATCTTCTTCCTCTCATTCTCTTCCTTGCTTGGTCCCCTCTCTTCCTCCTCATGTCACTCTCAATGGAGAATGAGGGGTCTATTTATAATTTTTTGAGAGTGACATGACCAGTAAATATGAGGGAGATCAAGGGTAAATTGGAAGTGTTTTGACTGGACATTCGATGTTGATTCCCTTGATCGTAGACCATTTGTTGGACATTTGAATATCTTAATAATACCAGAATATGATGATCTTGGGCTCGTTAGATTCATCACGTCAAGCCACTCGATTCGACTATAAGCATGTCATGTTTGGAAACTATATGATAATCTAAATTATGGTTTTAACCTTTCAAATATGCTTCGAGTACTCGATTTGGACGTATTTGGGTTCTGATATAGTCAAATTTGGTGTCGTTGTGTTTGTCTTTCTGAGGCATTCTATTCGACCATATATTTGCTGAAATTGGAGTTCATATGGGAATTTAATTTCAGAAGTTTCCAACTTGATTTTGCCTCAAGATTCATGCCCGATCAAGATAATCTTTTGATCGATGATATATCACCACTGAAAGAAGTCATTACCTTGATAGCAAAAAAAATAATACATTGCCCTAACAAAAATGTTGATGCATAGCCACATTGGAACAAAATAAAGGAGATAAGAAAAAAAATTAATGATCTCATATGATTTGATTATATATTAGACATAATCCTCTTACAGCAACCTCAAATGTCACCATTAACAAATCATATACAATAATATAAAAAAATTTAGGTAAAAGGCAAAAATTAAGGATTAATTTAGAAATCGAACCAACAATTTTTGCTAATTAAATTTATTGTAATGCCAACAGATTCAATCAATTTTAATTAATATCTTAAACATTTTTTAATCTTTTCCTTAATCATCCATAAGTTTGGAGTAGCTCCAACAATAAAAAGGTTGTAATAGCTCCAGTTACAGATAAGACTAGAGAGAGTCATCATGCTTTCCGATAACACGATTAGAAGAGTGGAGATGGACCTAAGAAGACTTGGTTGTAAAGTATTAGAAATGATAATTTTTATTAGACTTAAATAAAAAATTAACTCTTAATACGACAAAACGGATAAAAGAGATTCATATAGCCAATCCTATGTAGTGGGGATAAAAACCTGATGTTGTTGTTTTTGTTTTTTGTTCAGAAGTTTTTAGAAATCAATCAATAAATATATTCAACTATGAATATACTTCTAAATAGGTCATCATCAAAATCTTGATAAGGCTTTATCCTCAAACATGCTATTAAAATAGCAGAAATCATTGTTACTAAACTTGCTCGTAAGATAGACAACTTTTTTTTTTTGACATTTAGGCCAATTAAAATAAACTCATACACACATCACGTACGCAAAACTCGAACTCAAGACCTCTTAATTGGTAGCTAAAACTCCCAACCAATATATCAAGATGAACTACAACGGAATATTTGGCTTGAACTGTACAATAACTTCGAATATCTTCCATTATTTATATAGTTTATTCTTAATGAATAACCAAGTAATCAATATCTTGCAAATATTATTTGAATCTAAAGAATGTTCATTACTTAATGCCCAATGGAAAACCTAATGCACACCAAATGGTTTGCTTTCTCCTAACACCCAATGGAAAATTCTTCAAGATATTCCGAGCAAAATATGCATATTCGTAAATTTTTTTTTTGGAAGAATCCCACTGAAATAAGACATTGACGTTTATAACAAGAAAATTAATATCCCTTTTCACTCATGACATATTGATTTAAAAAAAAAGGAGAAAAAAGAAAATTTAATGATCTCATATAATTATATTTTATACATAAGTTTTTTATATGAATTCTAGAATAATATTTAAAGATTGGGTATGAATTTAACTAATTAAAAATGGAGCAGATAATTTTTTTTTTGTTGAAAAAAACGACCAAGTCGTCGTGTGGACTACTAGTTGCCCGAGAAATTATTCTATGCGGACGCTAGGCGCAGCTCTACGTCGGGATGCAGTGGTACCGAGCCGCGGTATAGAAAAAGTGTGATATGGTGCATTCTGATTGGTCTCCGGACAACATTCGGTGTACGCATGGAATAGTTTTTCCTATTTGCCCTGGGCAAGTCGCAAACATAGTAAATTGTCTTATATATACATCTATAAGAGCAATAAATTGCATT